GGGCCTCTGAAAATCTGAATCCATGAAACTGCATTTCAGGGATTCACTTAAGCTGTTGTAGCATATAGGCTAGTTTGAAACTGTGTCATTGTGAGAGTTAAGGAATTATGTATGGATATACTTTGGTTTTGTATTTTGAGTTCCGCAGCAATCCTATTTCAATGTGTGATGTATCTCTACATGGCGGTGATTCATTGTCTTTCAAATATGTTGGTAGTCTTTTTCCTTTTTCCCCACCAAAAGCTTCATGAGCATCATAAGCAGCCGGCAGCCATTCATTTTCAATACACGCTGGCCGGGCTTGCAGGACTCTGTGGACCCAGACGGACCGACGGCTCCGGGCCCTGCGTTTCCTCAGCAAATACGCTGATGCAATACAAAGGAGGCTTCCGAAAGTGCGATCCATGGTGAAAGAGGAAACCAAAGATGTGCATGCTATATAGGCTACGCTTTTTTCCCTCCAAATAAGCTCCCACTTATTTACCACCAATTACATTTCTCAATGGTCCTACAACAGGAGGGTAAAATCCTAATAATAAAAGACTCATAAAGGCTACATGACTGTGTTTATTAGCGTTATTTTACTTGTGTAATGAAAGTCATGAATATTATATAGTGAAGACATAAATGATAGTAGGGCTGGGCGGTATACCAGTTTGTACCGAAAACCGGTATTTATTTTTGTTATGTTATGAATTTTTCATATTAATGAGGGGATAGCCGGAGATTATCCAATCACGTTGGTTAAGTCCCTGATCCAATCCAAAAAGGCCAAAATCCGTTACGTGACTGCATCGCTCGCTCGCGCTTCATCGCAGGGAAGGAGGAGGAAGAATAACCCATATTGTAATGTATATTTATTATTAAACTAACGTTAGTCAAACAAATTTCTCTGATTCGCGCGTGTGTGTTATTCATTATGTTGACAAATTTATGATGTTTAGTCTTGGAGCTGCTAAAGGCCTGGTCAGCTCATGTATTTACGAAGTATTATTGACAGCCCCTCTCCTGACAACCGTGGCACTAGCTGCTAGCCTACTGACACATAAAGATCTCTGAAATGTGTAGCCTAGGAATATGTAGCTATTTCTGTCTTCAAAGTCGAATAAGCGCCTCACATCTGAAAACCAGGCTCATAGACCATCCTGTCATGTCTAACATTTGCCATTTTGTATCAAGATAGGCACACACACAAGTTAAAAGGCTAAGTGTGTGAGATGTGAGACTTATTGTCTAAAGCTAACATCTAGCCTAACTTCCAGTTTGACTATCAACATCTATTTCCAATTTGACTATCAATTGTAAATCACACATTTGGGACAAACAATTGAAAGGGTTCCTTTCCATATTGGTTCATCAATTGAGAAGTCAATGAAAGTGTGTTTTTCCCCCCACTCTACAGTAGATTCGAACTGCAAGGTGTGTCAGATAGACCACGAGGTGATCTTCACGACACCAGAAACTATTATTAGCATAGTCAGCTTACACAAAATGAATGAATGAATGAATGAATGAATGAATGAATGAAGCCTAGGTCTAAGCCAAGCACATTAGAATAATTATTCAATATATAAATAATTTCTACATAAGGGAATTATAGTAATGGCATAATTAAGAAGAACGATGAACTATTTACAATGTAGGCCTATTAACACAACCTAATGATCAAACAAAAGAGCAAACAAATGAATTTCTCTTTTATAGAAATATCCAAGATTACAAAGGCAAACGAATCAACATTTCTAATCTAGCCTCACAATTTCGTTACAGCTGTTTGGTGCATGAAGGCGAAGTTGACATACATTTTCATTTCTAAGTAACAGCGTCAGACTGGCTGTAGAGAAGATATGAATGAAGGCATGGTGATGTAGCTCTGGCTGGGGTGCGAGTTTGACTGACATGCTGCCTGTCCAATCCTAGTGCTTGAGGGCGGGACTTTTGCAAATCTCTCCCGGTTTCCGCCTACGAAAAACATATTCGCGCACGCTTGAGCGGGTAGAAAAGTTTAGAGGCGAGAATGGCTGCCGGAGAGAGTCCTGAAGGCAAAGCAACTGTACACAATGACCCAGAAGAACTCATACGAAAAAGAGCAGCGTTTCCCCTATATGCAACTAGCAGCGGCGCACCACCGTTTACAATTCTCCTCTGCCCTCTGTATCGCGCACGGTGGAGTTTCGCCCCGATGTGTGCACGTGCACACACACACACACACACACACACACACACACACAGACAAAACGCACACACACAGGTGAGCACACTAGAGAACGGCTTGGGCTGCATTTTCCTGACCGAAGACGACCCGTCCCGAGTCCGAGACAGTTATGGCCGGGCTCCACCTGGCACGTCAGCGGTGCGACACGTCTGCAGCGCGACACGTCTGCAGCTCAAGTCCCGTAGCAGCTCGCCCCCCTGTTAATCAATTACAGCGGCTCCATTGGCAACGGGAGCGGCGCGACAACCCCCGTCTGTCACGCAAGAACTCTCTATTTTACGCGGCTCTTCTATTTTTGTCGCGCTGCGCTCCCCTACACGATCCTCCAGCAGATAAAAACTACATGAAATAGTGTGCTAAACGAGCACACTGTGTTTTTAAGTGAATAAATTGATTGATTTTTTTTCATGCATTTACCCATGTTTATCCGTGACATTGTGTAAATGTCTGTGGCGGACATTTGAAAGCGTGTAGATGACAAACAGTACAGTAAACTTGTAGATAACTCAAATATATGTAATAACTTAGGTGGAAAATGCTTTAACATTTCATGCAGCCTACATGCAGCCTCTTGGCTCGGCAAACGGTAAACAACCCCGCTGGCTTCTCTACGTGTCGCTTCCGTACGCAGTCAGTGGAGCCCAGATGAATGGAGCAGAGCGTGTGTTGCGTTCAGGCCTCTTCAGGTAAATAACAAATTCCGGTACTTGAATAGGCCATAGCACAACAAAGCAGCATGTCAAGTTTGCCGAACCTGAGCAAAATACCATGAAATACCGTGAAACCGATATGATTTTTTCTTAAAACCGTGATATGAAAATTTTGTCATACCGCCCAGCCCTAAATGATAGTATATTTGTTCATCCTTGTAAAGTGCACAGCCGGTCAGCCTAGATGGACACATCTGCAGCGCCTGGCCCCGCCGCTGCAAGCACCTGCTGGAGCTGGCAGTGTGAGTCAGAGCAACCAGAGCGCCCGCAGGCGACCATGAAGCTTTTAGTGGGAATCCCCAGTAAGGAACAAAACATTTACTGAGAAGAAGCCAACTTAGATTTACTCATGGGTACCCATAGAAATCATTTTCATTCAGATATCTTGAAGTGAGCCTCTTAAAGGCAGGAACGTCAGCCTCCAATTATTACATATCAATTGTATCAGGGTGGCCATGGCCCCCTCTGGCCCCCCATTGGGAGCGCCACTGTACTTGTGAAACTAGAGGCCAACCAGTCCAGAAATTGAAGCCATACTTTTGGGTTATAGAAGATGATACCTGCCATGTTTAGTCCATATAATATCACAGGCCCTGAACTATGGAAGATTTTACAAATAACCAGTTAACCACATAGCAGTGTGTCTCAGTGCTCACAGCTATGTAGCAACACATCCATCTCTAAGAAGCCTTAAAGAAACTTGCAGCACTCCAATCTTATGCCATCCTATTGACAAACATTCAAAATATTTCCCTGGCAGCTTCTTGCTTGCAGCATATTATTTGGTTTTTACTAGCAGATTGCCACAAGAGTACCACTTAGTTGACAGATGCTGCCAACGGCTTAAGAATAAAACTCTGCAACAAAAAAGGACTACATTTAACAACCTCCTGCTCAAACACACACACATACACACACACATTCACTCACAGCAAATGGCACATTGTGCAACACAACATGACAGTCCCTATAGAGAGAAACAACAAGCTACATCACAATTTTTTCCTTACTGTCAGAACTGTTACACCCAGATTGTGTTTGCATAACAGTATCAACAACCTTAATACAGCTATACCAGTTGGAAGGATGATTAAATTTACTTTACCTGTACAGGAGATTGGACTCAAAGCAGCAGGGTGAAGGGCTGAAGTGTTGCAAAACACAGACATGGCCTCTGTATCATCACCCACACCCTGCTGAAGGGATGTTTTGTAGACTGGGTTTGGGTTTGTCACTCGCCATCATAACCAATTTGGAGAAAAATCCAAGGCCTGGTTGGTTAGGTGCAGCTAATGTGGAGATAGCAACCTGCGACTGTCCTTCCATAGATAACTTATTTTAAGTTATTTTATTCTAACTTGTTTTTTCTTAGTGACGAGACAAACATTTACAAACTTGATCCGGTGTAGCGGTGCGTAATTTGGGTGCTGCTTTGCGCTCAGTGCTGCCTCTGATGGCTGGGAGCTGAACTCAAGATTTATAGCTTCTGGACACCAGTGGCATATTATAGATGTTCTGGATCAAGGGGTACCACATATAGAAGGCTGATAACTGCGGGAACACTGCAGGGTCAATATTGGTATCTCATCTCATTTGGTATGTACCCGGAGGCGTGCGTAAAAATGGTGTTACTTTGGGTCATAACTTCCAAGTTTGATAGCCTACAGTTTGGAGAGCCCATTTGGTAGAAGGGAAAATAACACTTGAGAGCATAACACTGTCAATTTTATTCGACCATTACTGCTGACTTTCTTGTGAAACACAAGTCAGAATTTTGCCAAAGCACCGAACAAGCATTTGGCTGAATTATTGGATAGAAAAGTTATATTAAGCCTTTTGATCCAGGCCAACACACCCTGAAGGACCTACTCTGTTTTCATGTTGTTTTGTCAAATTGAATTGGCATCTCTCTAAATTCTGGTGACCATTTAATTAACTTATCAGTATGCATCAATGAATTTCATCAAGATGCCATTAAAATAAATGCTCCATTTCACGTAGCTCCACCTGTATGCAGGACTCAGTGTGTCTGTATCACAGCAGACAGCCTCTCGTTCAGAGGTGAGTCTCTTCAGCACCTCCTCGGCGCTTCTCGTGCGCGTCCTTTAACATATCTGCGCTCTCCGGCTGAAGGCAGTCACAGCGCGCATCACAACGCGAGCGCATCGGAGCTTTGCGTGTAGAGCACGTTTGTATTTTATTTACCTGTCCGACCCTTTTTTTGTCCCCTTTCTCCTCGTGTGTGATGCAGGCAATATTATGGGATTATTGCAATGAAAATTCACATCGCAGAGAGCTTTGCCACTTCGATGCCAGTGAGGCAAACTTGAGGAATATTTGGAGATGAAGAAGATGAATCTGCCTTAGACGCTGAAATACTTTGGTCCGCACAGAAGTGGCGCATTTTGTGGATAGTGAGATTAAATCCAGTTGCAGGTAAGATGATACTTGAATTGTCAGAGATAAATACACGTGCAAAATAGTACAATATCAGTTTAATTTGATTATTGTATTCTAATTAAGCTGAATGCAAATCTCACTCCAAAACTCACTCCAGTATTTGCTGCAGTGTCTCGTTGTGTCCCAGCATGCAATTGTACTGTTATTTAACTGCAATTTATGTGGTAAAATGCTGCTTTTCTGACATGTGACTTCAAATAAATGAAGTCTGGTGCCACAAACCCTCAGCTGGGTCTGTGCAGAGTTAGTATTTTCCATAAGCTGGATTTGCATGATTAACTATGAGCATGTAATCATACATTAAGCTAAATATCCATCTTCTTATATTCTACCTGTTAGCCACTAAAAGCAAAGGTCAGACCAGAATTCATCATGAGCAGTGAAGAAGAAAAACACCACATGAAATAAGAACTGAGAGTAGACACTTTATTGCATTTTTATTTCACCAGTTGTTCTGATGGCAAACCGCATTTTTGTCTTTCTTTTGGCTGTGGGCAGGTTTTTATGGAAAGAATACCTGTTGCACAGCATGCACAGTACCTCAGTTCACAAAATGATATTTCATACAGGTGACAAAATATCAGTCATACCAACAGTGATCAGTGATTTGTGATAGATTGTGACCTCAGCAACAGAACTATAATGCTTCAAGGGGGCATCATATTTTATTTTGGTGCTCCGTTGTGTTCCTTCTGTTTGATTAACTGTCATATGCTTTTTATCTTATGCAGCACAAACAAAATATAGTTTCCAGCTGTTACATGTCCATCCACCTGACTCAGACAACACACATTTTTAAACACAACCAGGCTCACTGAGCTCAAGCATCCCCTTTGCTGAAATTCTGCAGAAAGTCACCTGTTCGCCAAAACCAAGACTCTGTGCAGTGTCCACCCTGTTCTGCTGCCATGGTGAAAATGATGAACTGGCATCATAAAACCTCTTATGTTATTGGCACCAAACTAAGTTGTCAGACCATGTTTGCCTCCTGTGCATTGGCAGTGACAAGCACTTCAATCAGACTGCAGCAAGGCTATTGGCAGTACTGTGATTCCCCTCATTCAATTACTCAGGATGGGATTAATTTACATCCATGCCCACCCCCTAATAAATAACAAAAAAAAAAAAAAGTGTCAGCAAAGATTTCAGTGTAACCCCCCGCCGTAGCTGATTATTAAGCAACATGTGAAGGGCACGCATTTCCCTAGGGAGAGCTTATGACTGCAGGGTATGCAGAGTGATTTCCCTGGGTAGCAGTGCCTGACCGAATAAACAGGAAATGTCTGGCCTCAGGTAAAAAGCACTGCCAAACATCCTGAGCTGCTCTTCTTTACACATGCTATCAATCAGGTCTGTTCCCAAGAGGGATTCAGATACTGAATCTGTAAAATCCCCTTAGGCTCTGCTGTCTATGAGAGTGGACATTTGTATTTTCAAAAAGGGCACAAGTAAACGCACTGTAACATCAAAAAAACATTTTATTCTGACTGAAAATATGGATTTATGATGTCACAGAGATCACTCACAGTGATAGCTGCTCCTTACTTTGGCTCCACAGAGGGAGAGGAAGAGTGATCACGTTCAATATGTGGTAAAGATGATGACTATGGATCTCTTCTAGAAAGCATAAAATCAATATCAAAATCCACATCAGGTGAAATGATTGTGGTATTCTCTATCACCTTGACCATAACTGTCAGGATTGTAAGGCAAAATCATTCATAATAAAAAGGTAAAGTGTTTTACACTGTGACTGAGATAAGTCTTTATGTGTGCAGGTGTGATGCCATAATCCTTGCGAGACAGTGAGGTAACATGGACTCCTGGATCTTCCCATCGTCCCCTCCGAACCTGTCGGAGCACCTCATGTATGACAGCTTCATGCAGGGCAATGAGTCCGACTTCCATGGGAACCACACGTACCACAGCTTCAACAAAACCAGCACGGTGGTCATCACCTGCATGTACTTTCTGGTTTGCACCGTGGGGCTCTGCGGAAATGCCCTCGTCATCTACGTCATCCTGCGCTACGCCAAGATGAAGACAGTTACCAATATCTACATCCTCAATCTAGCAGTGGCTGATGTGCTCTTCATGCTGGGCCTGCCGTTCATCGCCATCCAGCTGGCGCTGGTCCACTGGCCGTTCGGCCCCGTGCTCTGCAGGGTAGTGATGACCGTCGACTCCCTGAACCAGTTCACATCCATCTTCTGCCTGATGGTCATGAGCATTGACCGCTACCTGGCTGTGGTGCATCCCATTAAGTCCACAAAGTGGCGCAAACCACGCATGGCCAAGACGATCAACTTGGCAGTGTGGGGGGTGTCGCTGATGGTTAACCTGCCCATCGTTATCTACAGCGGAGTCATCACAAAGCACGACGGCTGCTTCTGCACCATCGTGTGGCCTGAGCCTCAAGAGGCCTACTACACAGCGTTTATGTTCTACACCTTCATCCTGGGCTTCTTCCTGCCCCTCATGGTCATCTGCCTTTGCTACTTGTTCATCATCTTTAAGGTGAAGTCCTCAGGCATCCGTGTGGGCTCCTCCAAGAGGAAGCGCTCAGAGAGGAAGGTGACTCGGATGGTGTCCATCGTGGTGGCGGTGTTCGTCTTCTGCTGGCTGCCTTTCTACGTCTTCAACGTCACCTCGGTGACGGGAACCATCAGCACCACTCCCATCCTGAGGAGCACCTTTGCTTTCGTGGTGGTTCTGGGATACGCCAACAGCTGCGCCAACCCCATCCTCTACGCCTTCCTGTCGGAGAACTTCAAGAAGAGTTTCCAGAATGTTCTGTGTCTAAAGAAGGTGGGTGGGCTGGATGAGGTCGATCGCAGCGATAGCCGGCAGGATAAGTCTCGCATGATGAACGACCCCACGGAGACCCAAAGCACCCTGCTGAATGGGGACCTGCAGACCAGCATCTGAGAGGAAGACGACCTGACTCAGATACACACATACACTCATTCAGACAGCCATATATCTGAAACAAATAACACAACATCTCTAAGGTCACATCAGAGGGAAGGAGAGGACATTATTAAATATTAAACAAGGTGTTCACAGAGGAACTTGTCCGTTGCTAAGGAGGACTAAGCACCAGCAGAATGTTGAACTGCAGTGTGACACATTGGATTTCCCTGGCTGTAAACAAATCCATTATAACACAATTAGAAGTTCACACAACCGTTTGCTCTGTGGTGTAAATGACAATAAAATCTATTTGACTGTTTGTGTTTGACTGTGTGTATTGACTCTGGGGCGAGGTAGAATGGATGCTAACGCCCACTTGCAAATGCTCCCCTGGGTGGCATGAATTTTCCCTGGAGACCCAGGATTATATACAGAGAGTTTACAGAGGAGGGTCTGTGCCAAGTTTCCACAGTGCTGTATTGTGTAAAATTACATAACAGTGTGCTCATATGCTGTAAAATACATACCACGACATGCTGTTATTAAACCTGGCAACCCTATCACTCCTGGACTTTTGTCCCGTCTGACTGTAAATAACAGAATATGTGCAGAGACTGAAAAGACAGATGATTTTATATTCAGTGTCAGTTTTGAAACTCTAAATCTGACTTGTGAATAAGTATATTTTTCAGACGCGGAGCATAATGAATGTCAGTGCCATTGATTCTTGTGTTTTGTAATATGTGGGACCAATTTTACTTGTGCAGAAATGTATCAAGTGCAAATGTGAATAACAGTGTTCAGTCTGCAGGCAAATATTCCGTCCTGTGTCACTCGCTGCTTCTGTATACATGCATAATTTATATTATATCAATGGTCCTGGCTCGATATACCAACGCCAGCCTCTAACCAAAGTGCTGCTAAGATGTATAGACGACAATGTTGTATAGTATTATGTAAAGTAATGCCACTGTATGCCTGTTTCTACCGGACTAAGCCGTTCTGTGTCATGGCTCATTTATTATTCTTTATATATATCATGTTATAGTGTTGCTGTCATTGTTTGCAGATGTTACAGTGGCTGCTTTTGTCAAAAATGCCAGACTGCATGATTCTAAATTATTCAATATGAATATTGAGTAGTGGCTCTGCTTCATGTTTTTGATGTCATCTGAGAGCATGAAACCTGCTCAGATTAGATTTTGCAAAGGGTTATTCTACTCCCCAGTAAAAGTGGATGGGTCACTGGGATTTAAACTGGATTTATAACATACTGGTGTTTAATTTCAAGGTGTTTTATTGTGTTGTCTTCTCTGTTTCTCTATTTTCTTTGACCTCGCAAATACGAGCTGCCGTGCTGCCAGCCATTGCAAGCTACTCCTAAACACTTTGTATAATAACACCGACCCATCCTCTGTTTCTGTCTCCGGGTGTCCGAGTGACGTGAATTTGTGAAGGGCTAGAACACTTATTCCTCGAGAGGCTCTGGTGTTCCTTTATCGTCATCACTGTGCTGCTCCAGGAGTGCCACACTTCATCCTGTGACTCCGTGTTTGTTGCTGTAGTCAGATTACTTTCTATTTAAGTTGTTAAACCTTTACCCTACATGTGCAGGTTCCTTCATACACACCAAAGCCAGCGACAGATTATGATTAATGTGCAAAGAATCCTAAGCGTGTGTGTGTTGCATTGATCTAAACTCACCAGGCGGCCAGTCTCCAGCAAAAATGTGAGGTAAAATGTGTATGATATGAATATATATACAACACATACGTACAACTCAAAGTAGGTTTTCATCCTCACATGTCACACAGAGGCGCACACACACACGCACACACACACACACACACACACACACACACACACACACACACACACACACACGTTGTGAGCGCCAAGCCATGACTAATCAAATTCCATGTCCAATCTCTCTCACTCTCTGCAGTAATGCAGAATTTGTCAGCGGGTCTGTAACATCTTATTACCACTGAAAGACATGACACACCTCTAGTGTCGTATATTTCCATAGCAACAGTGACCAAGAGTGTTAGTCCCATGGTTATACTAATTAGCATAATAATAATAATAGAGAAAGATGTCTCTGGACATGAATTATGAATGTTGACATTGCTCAGATGGCTGAGAAAAAAATAGGCAGCTGTGAAACCAAACACCTTCGTTCCATAAAACCTGATTGAAGTGTATAGAAATAAAAACTGAACACTTTGTGTTGTAGAAAATCATCCAGCTGTTGCAGAGATGTTGTAGTAATTATGATTCTGGCAGACTTTTCTTACAGTTATGCTTATGGGTTCAGCTTTTTTTTGTTTGTTTTGAATATCTGCATTTCTTAGACTACACTGCAGATTTTCTACAGCATTGGTTTCAGTTTAGTGTTTTATTTCTACGATGAGCCTCATTTTGTTGCTCGAATGTCTCATGAGCTTTGGAAAATCTCACCACAGTTGTTCCAGGTTTTACTGTTTCTGTAGAAAGTTTAAATGAATGTATGTTCTTCCAGTTTCTGTTCTGTTCAATGATAATGAAACGCCGAGTTTGATGGCGCAAACATGGACTGTGTATAGTTGTGTTGAAACTAAATAAAGTATGTAGCATAGTAAGCAAGTGTTCCTTTAATTATTTGTGCAATATTCATGATAAAAGGGCTAAAAATGCTAAATATTTATATAAAAATGGTAAAATCCTGTACATTTACATTTAATTATATGATTATTTTATTGCTACATATTATTATGAAGTATGAAAACAGCTTTTTTTTTTGTATACCTGCATTGTATTCAATGCTGACTGCAGGTTTCAATTTTTTTTTCTTCCAGACTTCCTCTGAGCTTCTCGGTTTGACCACAAAGTGGCGCCATAATCAAACACATAACTAGAGCTGCTATCAGGCCACAAACACTGAAGGTGAGAGTGCATGTTTGCAAGTGTTGCACCATACTCGGCTCATCATCTCTTGATTTTCAAAATAAAATAAACTAATAAATAAATTAAATTCCTGTTTTCTTTACCACAATGTCTTGCACACTACAGCACTTTACCTCTGGGACACCCATAGTGCTAATGAATGGAAGAAATGAGACAAAAGACAGGTACACATTCCAGTTTTGTTCTGAGTTTAATCACTGAAACGTATAATGAAGCTCTCCTCTTCCTTTTCGTTTCAGCTGCGTCCCTGAATGTCCTTGGGTGGTCTTAACTGCTCCATGATACATCAAAACCAAAGTGCGACCGTTTCACAAGTCTTTAATTTTACTGTTTCGGAAAAACCTGCCGATGCCCTCTAGCTGAGGTTCTGCAGCAGACCAAAGGATATGCATGTTTGTTTTCAATTACAGAGCAGCTAAACAACCAGGTGTTGTGGTGGGTTTTTTTTTTAAATGTGGAATTACTGTGATAGGTTAGGGCCCTCATCTTATACATGAGTGAATTTTTTTTTTTCATTATTCTGTATTTTTCTTTTATACATACACAATCAGTGATATTCAAACAAAACAGACCACAACACCCTGATGTGTATGTGCATTATCTAAAGTCTGACTTGACAGCATACTGATTGAATAGAGCACTGGGTTTACTGCACTGCAGAGGCAAGACACACCACGAACCACACCGGTCTACACCAGCCACACAGTTGCCATGGAGAAGATTAACACTGATGGATTCAGAGCCAGGCTGTGGTCGCACAGTGCCCATATACGTGCAATGTGTTTTTACCCTCTATGTATCTCACATGATCGTCCCTCCCGTCCCCAGACTACAGAACAAAAATCATGATGGGCAGCAGGCCTTGAGGCGTTACTGAGGGCAATTTTTCACATACTATAAGATCATGAAAGCCCAGTCGCATGCAGTGTTGTTAAACGGGCTTCTTTTTTTTTTCTTTGCACAGAGCATTCAAGGTGTTGAATGACGAGAGACCACAGCATTCTCACATATCATAGGACCTCATCTGGAGTTCATGTACTGAGTCTTCTCTTCAGAATGCCGTACGAAACCCAAAGCTCACATTCAACATACAATTCATAAACAGCAAAGGGTGAGCCAATTTAACCATCACCATCATTATACCAACAATTCCACAAGAATGAAAGTATAATACGTCCAAAAACATTTCCAGTACCAGGACAGCGAGGGACATATGACTGTACTGAAAATTGAAAAAAAAAAAAAAAAAAAAAAAGACACTGAAAAGAACAGTAAACAAAAAATTCAATGAGTTGCTAAAAAAAATAGATATTCCCTGCCCTCAACCAGACTTAAAAATAAAACAATCAACACAGTAAATAATGGAACATGAGCACACTCAGGTCCAAATCTGCTTAGTTTCCATGGCAGCACTTCCCCAGCAACTGGCAAAGGCAGCATCTCTAAGCTCTCCCATGTTTTCTTCTTCTTTTTTTGCTCTTAAAAAATAGATGTATACTAGATTCATACAGTATTTCATAACTAAATTCACAAATGATAAGAATCATAACCATACCTTTAAAAATGTTCTTGCAAAGTTCATAATACGTTGATTCTAGTCTTTTTTTTTGGGTTTTTTGTTTGTTTTTTTGCGTTCAGTCCCGTATGCATATGACAACAAACTGTCTTCCATCAAGTTAAATGCTTGGTCAGTTGAAACAAGAGCACCATGGGAGAGAAATGGAGGGCATGTGTAAGGGGGTGGGTGGAGGAGGGGGAGGTCAGAATACTGTAAGAAAAAAAATCCAGATGTGCCCAATCGACATGACGGTCAGTCACGCTCAGACTCTGCCCCTGCAGCAGGTAGGAGAAGGGAGAGAGGGTGAGGGGTGTGGGGCCTCTTCTTCCCCTCTGCCCAAGCCTGGAACTGACGACGCCCGACTTCTTCCTCCTCCTTTCTCTCCTCTTCATTCAGTTTCGTCAAGTAGATGCCAAGAAGTAGCTCAGTGCTTGTTTTTATTTTTTTTTTTTACTTTGAAAGGTTGCATGATTTCACACGTCTTTTTTTATATGTTTGTCCTCCAGAGCTGGAGGAGCAGACTGGTAGTCAAAGAGTTTCAGGTAGGTTTGTGTGTTTGTGTCTCATCCTGTCCCCAGTCCCTTGACTCTCTCGTTAGAAGCAGTGGTTCTTCATGGTCAGTGGTCACAAAGACTACTCGTATTCAAGGAACTGTTTATGGTAGAATAAGAGATACCTGAGGGGGCAAAAAAAAGAGATCTGATATAACACTGTGTAACATTTTTGGAGTGCTGCTAATGTTTTGTTTCCATTCTTACCCTTCACTATCAAGTACATCCTTAATGCTGGCCTTGGTGATTATAGCGTCATCGCATTTGAACCACTGGTCTTTGTGCTGGCGGATGAAGCTGGTGTAGTGGCCGCTCTCTAATGTGCCTTGGTGGTTGACCACCGCAAACAAGGAATACCTGGAATTAAAAGACAAACAGGCGTGAATTTGTCTTTGTTCTGTCGTCTGACTTCACTTTAACACAACTATCTCATAAAGCCCCATTATCCTCGACACACATGGCTGCCTTCGTTTGTCTTAAACTCCATACTGTCAGGTATTTCCTGAGCATTACAGGCCTTGCATACTGACTTTCCTCTCTGCTACAAGCAACCTGTCAGTGGTATTAAGACAGTAAATTCCCCGTAAATGTCGTGGAAAATGAAAGCCATTGTAACTGTCATGGATGAGGAAAACTAAGCAGCTTTTAATAGGCTTCAAATTGATTTAATTTGGGGAAGTCACAGCCGGATGCTCCGGGTCATTAGCATGTACTGCTGTGCTGGAGGAGGAATTTCAACTATGATGTCAGTAACCCTGCGAAGCAGCAGAGTGTTAATAAATCAGCTGTAGAACATGTTTTCCAAGGCACTCACTTATTGTCGTTGTTTAATACATCAACTGTCTGTTGATACTGCCCGTTCATTCTGCTCTCTTTACTGTGGGAGACGGAAAAAAAGATTAGCAAAACATAAGCATTTCTAAAGCTGCGTGTGTGTGTGTGTAAACACGCTACACTGGCACATAAATCCACTAGGTGGCAGAATTATCCTATCTATGAAAGCAGACGTCTTCCCTGCTGGTGCCTCTAATGATCTTTCTGTCTCTGAACGGAGCTGAATGGATGCTACATCCAGGGGTGGGGCAACACTGCTACTGCATGCTTTACTGACATCAATAAGTATTCATAGGGAGCATTTAATAATGATGTTTTTGGCACAAATGCAGATGTGTGCAATTACTGTGAGTACACAGTATGTTCAGTGTGTCACGCAGTATGTAAATGTACAAACATTTAAATGGAATACACCATTTAAATAAGCTGCTCCAGGGTGTTTGGAAAAATCTGTTTATTTCCATCATGATGTGAAGACTGCCAGGGACAGGATTCGCCACATGGGTAGAGAAGCTAGGCAGAGGCTTACCTGGATGCCATGAAGGGCGTCATGTCCAACTCTAGGGGGAAGGAAACATACGTAGTGATCTTCCTCCGCAGTTTCGCAGAGTGCTCAAACCGCTGGAGATGGCCAGCGAGGGAGGATGAGGCAACAGAGATGGGGGGGAAGGGGGGGTGGAAACATGGCAAGAGAGAAAGATGGAGTGGGAGTGGGTGGGGGGGAGGGGAGACAACATATATAACTAAATAACAGGCATCATCATTACGACGTACAAAATACGACACGGCTAGTGAGAAGTGAAAATGCATGTTTTCCACCCTGGCTGTCACACATTTATGCTTTCCCAACAAGATAATAACAGGCTCGGACTGATCTTAGACAGTCTTCTTACAGCCTGTTCCTATGAATATCATAAATACATTACACCCCCCATCCCCACCCCAATACTGTTATGATAAATAAAACATGTACAGCAGTGGACTGTACAAGTCATAAAAGTCATAGGTGTCCTGGGACACTGTGTGAAAGGGCTACACAGTAGGAGGTAATGCACCAACAACAGAATCGAATTATGAACACACCTACGCACAAGCAATGTACCAGACAGCTAAGTCACTGCAAAATCTGAACTTTGCCTCCATCAGATGTGAGGCTGCATACACACAGGGCAAAATAGATCATACATTACAGCAAATAAACATACTTATACATTCCAGTGTGTAAGGATGCAAAATAATTATCAAAACTGAACAGGATAAAATCATAAAACGAAATAAAGCAGCTACACTTGGCTGATCATTAAAGCCACATCACACAGCCTTATTTACAAGACACTGCTGTTGCTGCTGTTTTGGAGTAATGACAGAATTAGACGTGTGAATAATAAAAGCTGGATGTACCCTTAAATAATCAGATTGTCAGACATTGACGGGTAATCTAACAAGTGATAACTGGCAGCACGTTGTCACTGGCTGACTCACTTTGAGATGGAAACATGCTACGATGGGGAGTTTCTTCATTGTCAGCTGTTTGGTGGACTCCTGGTAACTATGGCAACCGCCGCACTTGATTTTGGCACTGCTTCCTAGATGCTCGGGCCGTGTAAACCTGCAGAGGGAGGGTTTGGAATTTAAAAAAAAAAGAGAGAGAACAAGAGAGGGTGTGAGCGAGCAGAGAACATGTGGGCAAACAAGAGACAGGAAGTGAGAGCTGTGAGTTAGAGGAAGAAAACTATTATGGTTGCATTTTATTTGGCTGTGTTACATAAACCCTTTGATCACGCCTAACGCGCCCCGCAACACCGTGTTACAGCCCGTAAGAGCGGAGGTTATTCTGAGGATGTATGTGCATGGAGTTTGCCTGCAGAGTTTTGGTGCAGCCACTCTGTATGTCAGCCCACCCAGCCCAGAGCCCTGCTGGTAATGCCAACGCCTCTATCACCACGGCAACAGCACCAACCAGTTCTGTACCTTTAAGAGACTTGCTGCAGCAGCTAGGGGTGTGTGAGATGCTGCAGTAAAAAAAAAAAAAAAAGTCAGGAGGAGAGGAGGCGAGAGAAAGAGAGGGGGGGGATGAGACGAGGTAGAGAGTGAGGGCACGGGGGAAAAGGAATTAGGTGGAGAGGGGAGGGAATGAAATAAGATAAGGAGAGGAGGAAAAGAAATTGCAAGAATGAAGAGGCAGCAGAGGAGATATGAGGAGTCACACCTGCTCTGCCAACCTGCTGATGGCGGGAGATGAGATCCAGGGATAACAGGGTTGTTGTGGCTGAGCAGACGCAATATGTGACCCCTCGTTCAAGTGGAGGGGTGAATGAAATTTATTTCAAGTGGAGACAATTGATACACATGAATTTGGAGGGGTGGCAGAGGGGAAGCAGGAAAATAAGTGGAAAGTTGCAGCACCTTCTTTCCTTTCTGAATGTTGTGAGCATGATTCATTTTTAATCTAACAAAGTTTTAATACTTATAGTGTTGCTACGCATCAGCAGCTAGTAGTAATAGTAGTAGTGCTGTACATCAAAGGTGTCTGACCGTCTGTGTTTGAAAGAAGCCCCTCTGATCTAGCACTATTGAAAATTCTACACCTTTGCCAACTGAGAATTTAGTTTAGCTTAGATGGATGTAAAAACAGGGAGGGAGAGAGAGAGAAAGAGAAAGGAAAACCTGGCAGGCAGAAAAAAGACAACTTGTCCGCTGTCAGCCGAGACTGAAGCTGTACCTGCGTAAGCAGTCTGTGAGAGTGGTGGACCCTGACAGGTGGCTCTCTCCGTTGACTGTGCTGCCATCCCCTCCAGGGCTGAGGGGCCAGAAAGGCGTGGATGAGCCGGGAAGGTCCAGACTGATGTCCCAGAATGGATCTATCGTCGTGGAAACCCCACTAGAAAAAAAAAAGAAAAGAAAGAGGGAAGTTTGATTATGAGGTTGAATAAATAGTGTCATTTATCACAGGTCATGATGAAAGGATGATGACATAGATGGCAACTCTTAAACCCACACAGCCTCTGTAGATTCTGATCATGTTTTTGTTTAAGCCCGCTGCAAGATTGAGTGTGTGCATGTGCATAATATACGCACTGTTCTTCCGGGCCCATTTGCAATTCAATGAAGTGTTACATCAGAGAAAATTGGCTTTACATAAGGAATTTGTATTATTACAGCCCAGTGACTGTGATGGACTGTAGCTCGGGCAAAATGGAGGCTTTCAGTGTACAATGCGCGCAGTATACACAAATATGTACACACAAGGGATGGGTTGCCACACATTATCACTGTTGATTAGATGAGTCATGATGCTGTAACATCCAGTGG